AGAGGAGGATGAGGGAAAGCGCCCCCCGGGGGCTCTGGGTCCACTCCCACCGTCCCTCCTCGTCCCTGGCCAGGCGTGCGAGGAGGCCAGCGTAGGTGTCGTGTACCTAAGGTGGGGCGCGGGAAAGGGTAGGGGTAAAAAAAGGAAGGACATCCAGGTGTCAAGGAGGAGCATGACGCCGGCCAGCAGCCTCCTGCGGCGTCCGGTGCACGCGCCTGTCCGACCAGCCACCGTGCCCGCCCCATGGCAGAGAACGCATCGCCAAGAGACCAGGACGCTCGCTCTATCACAGGGGCCGGTCGAGGTCGTCTCAGGACCTTCCCCCGGCGCGGGGAGGCGGAACCCCTGCCTCCTCCTCCTTCCTCCCTCTTCCCCCCTCCCTCGCCCTCGTCCTCCCTCTTCCTCACCTCCCGATCGAAGGCGAGCTGTCGTGCACTCCCCGGGGCACAGAACCATCTCTGCCGGTAATTTGTTTCCAGGTCGTTCCCTCCATCGAACCAGAGACGCCATATCTCCGACGCGCCGGGCGGTAGGCTGTGGGAAGCCGCATCCGTGGCGCCCCGGGCAGGGGGGCTGCCTTTCATTGCAGCTGTGGCAAGGATTGCTTCCTGAACCGCCTGGGGCGCGCCTCTTCCATCCTCGCCCTCGCCACCACCTTCCCTTCCCTCCCCTCGTCCTTGCCCACATCGTTCCCCTCCCCCTCCTTCCCGTCTGGCGCGTCCACCTCCCCCCCAAGTCCCCGTTTTTCCCCCTTTTCCCACCACAGTCGTCGCCGCGCCTCTTTTCTCCCCTTGTGTTCCTCCTCCGGCCGCCTGGTCGACCACGGCCCTTTCACCTTCCTCGTTAGCCCTTTCTTCCTCCTTAACCCTCTCTCCTGCCCCGGGCGGGCTAGTCGCCTCCTTCATTCTCTTGCAAGCCGTCCCATCCATGCGTAAGCTCGGTATGTATTTGATGGCTATAAAACTTGCCATTGCCCCGGTGCCCATTCCCACAAGTAGTGAAACAATTGAGGTCGTATAGACGGAGGAGGACCACGCGGCCGATTTGGTTGCCGAGAGACGCATTTGAAGAGCAGGAATTTGCGCACACCCTCGTGTCTGCGTCTCCGCCAGGACGAGCCATAATTGTATGGCATGAGAAAATGAAATGAGAACGAATGAGGACTGCTGCCGTGGCAAAGCGAAGATGCACATAGATGGACGTAGTGCCTGTCTCTTCCGTGGGGAGGACCTAGCCCCCTTATTAAATGAGAGCTACCCGTGCGCAAAAGACCCCGAACGCTTCACTTAGCCTGATTATTATACGCTAGCTGAAATTGCTATTATTTTAATTTTGCCTCGTTGTTAAGGTCAATGTGGCTGGAGCTCAGTGTACCTGAGAGCACATGACGCATGAAACTATGATACTTTCACACTATTACAACAGGTCCTGCGACGTCATAAAAGCGTATCCTGCCCGTCCGACCAGAAAATGGGACCACCAAGTGTGTATTGATACGGACAGAGAAGTGAGCATGCGAGAGCCTGCACGCTAAAAAACGAAAACTTCCCGTCAGTCAAAAGGCAGCAAAGCAACGGCTCCGCTTCCGTGATAGGGTTTATTTTTAAGGCAATATGAAATAGTTTCATTAAAGAGGTCATAAATGCATGTTTTATTCGCAAACAACACCGCGGTACTTAGATTCTATTAGCTCAAGAGCAGTATAGAGAGACTCGACGAACGTGTGCTTTGACAATAAAACACACGGGATAATATCAAGTCCCTCGGCTTTTTCGGCTGCCCAACGGATGCACAGAAAAGCAGAGGCCCATTGCGAGGAAGACGAAGGTTTGGTTCCCCGAATTTGTAGCTTTCATGGCTTCAAATGCATGATGAGTCGTTGTTAAAGTAATTCTGCCTCCATCACAGGTGGAATGCGGTCGTCGTTTGCAGCCCGACGGCGGGATGCTTTGGGATATCGGGTTCCCGGAACGACGCTTCGCCTTCCTTATTCGTGGACGCTCGCTATGTTTGTCGGGGTGGTCTGTATGCTGGCAGTGGTCATTTTTGCCGGTCGTTCCCTCACTGTGGTGGGAGGGATCGATAATGAGAGAGACGATGCGGGTTTGTACCCAGTGTTGTCATGGACAGGTCATGGTAAGGACAAGAAGGCTCTGAAGGCCTCGGACGAGCAAGTCCTCCGACAAGAACTCCAGGAGTTGGAAGCGCGGATGGATGAGCTCGAACGGGCGCGACGATCCATGCCGCGACCGCCATTGACAACGACGCATCATGTCTTGGAGGCCATGGAGGGGCAACATGCAGTGGAAAAGGCACGCACAGACTCGAAACCCGTGCCCGGAGATGCTGACGACCACGAGCAAAAAAGCGCCCAACATAAAATTAATCCCGCCGTACTCGGCACGGACAAGGCTGCGGCCCACGGCGCATCGGCCGCCAGCACGCAAACCCTCGGACCTGGACATAGCCCCGAGGCGAAAGAGGGGGAGCATCTCCCTCCCCGTCAGGACCTGGAAAAAGCGGAGTCGCACGCGACTAACAACCTCCCTGCCACGGAAAGCGCGGCAGCGTACGACAGTGACACTAGCCCCGTGCCTCTAGTGGACCCCACGGTCCTGGGCCGGGACCCGCCCGCGTTGGACCATGCCGATATGCCGGGACTGTGCGCGCACAAATCCGATGGGGATGAGGATGTTTTGCGCCGGATAGACGTCTGGCCCTCGGCCGAGAAAGGGAAGCCACGCATCCTGTGTTTCAGCTACACCCTGTCCACGGCCCACGCCGGCCCGGTTCAGAACCTCCGGAGGACTTGGGCACAGCGGTGCGACGGCTATGTGGCCTTCAGCAACCAGACGGACCCTCTCATCCCGTCCGTGGACCTGAAGCACAAGGGCCCCGAGGCGTACGCGAACATGTGGCAAAAGCTGCGGGCGGCCTGGATCTATTTGCACAAGCACCATCTCCAGGACTACGATTATTTCTTGGCGGGCGGGGACGACATCTTTGTGGTGGTGGAGAACCTCCGCCGGTACCTCCTCTCGCCCGAAATCCTTGCGGCTACGAAGGAGGGCACTGAACCCATCTTTCTCGGGCGGCCTTTTCGGCCGCCTGGCTGTGACATCGCCTTCAATTCTGGAGGCGCGGGTTTTGTCCTGAATGCGCCCGCCCTCGACGTCTTGGGGAAAGAATTGCTCGGGCACGGAAAGAAGAAGCGTCTGTGCCGCCCCAATCAGGTTGGCTTCTGGGAGGACGTGAACGTGGCCTTTTGCCTGCACGAAGGCGGTGTCCACGTCTACAACGGCACCCAGGACGCTCACGGACGGGAACGTTTCCTCCCTTTCAAGCCAGGGCACCACCTTCGGTACCGGGTGCCGCCGAAGCCGGACTGGTACGCTGTGTACACGAAGGAATGGGGTTTAAAAACGGGTTTGGACTGTTGCTCGACGGAGGCCATCACTTTCCATTACGTAAAAGGGGATGATATGAAACGGTATCATGCCATCGTACACGGCATGTGTCCCAATATCAAAGCCAGTGAGGGCGAGGTGGCACAGAGGGCTGTCGACGCACGGAGATGAGGGAAATGGCGGAGGGTGTGGGGATTGTTTTGTAAAAACGACATGACTTTCGAAGTCACGTGCCGGTTATTGAGAAAATCCCACACGAAAGTGCAATAGAAACTAGAAACTTTTCTTGAATTGAGGGCGGCTTCATCATGTGTTTCGAGAGACGTTTCTTCATCATGTACATTGATAGACGTGGCTTCAACATGTGTAAAAGACCCTCCCCCCTGCACCTAAACACTGAACTTGACGATACGCAATCTCCGTAGTCGTACACATGCAATCCTTTTTCTTCACGACGAGCGCCCTCAGACACGAGCTCCTCTTGCATTCGCAACAATCGCTGCCAAAGTCCTTGCCTCGTTTCATATTTTGGCGGCTGTCGGCCCTACAAGTTTATCCGCCCTCGGCTATCCATGGCGCATGCCTCAATTCTTCAGCTGATCAGCCTCGACCTGAGGAAATTTCTCTTACTTATGGTTTGTCCGTGGCATCGTGTGAGGAAGTCGACGAGTAGGTCTCTAGCGCCCCGAATGCACCAACTATGGCGTACTTGTTCCCATCGGGGCCCGGATATCGGACTCGGAGATATAAACAAAGACTCGGAGTTCAAATTTACCATATGGTTAACTCTAAAATAGGTATTCGAATACATTTTGAGGACGGAGTTCTTCATTGCCGTGTATCGGTATTTCTTCTATACAGCTCTTCACGTTGTCCAAAGCCTCGTTTACAATGATAAAGGACTTTGTAATAGTATATTAGGGGCTGAGATCAGGCGTACGCAACAGCGCACGCCATTGCCTTAAGCCGTGCTTCTCCCTCTTTACGTCACACGAAAACGCGCCTCACCGACTGCCCTTCCCCCGGACATATCAGGAACAGGACGTACGCTTACCTCTTGAGACGAGGCTTGTGGCTTGTACTGTAGTTGTTGGGATTGGGAAGCCGTGACGGAATTTTTCCGAGCAGTCCCCCGACATCTGTCCTTGTTCCTCCACTGCCCGGAAGAGAAAGGCGCACAGTGGACTAGAAAACGGGGAAGGAAAAAAAAAATTGTAAAGCAAGCACCCTGAAATTTTCCGACAGCGGGGCGTCTTTTGGAAAAATCACGCGGTCGCACCTTACTTGTCGGAATCATGGCAGAATCAAACCAGAGGTGATGCACTGTCCCCGCCTTTATTGTCCGCGTGCCCTTCAAAAATCCACGACATAGGCGCAAGTAGACAGACACGTTGACATAGCCAGGAAATAGAGGGTGGCCGCGAAAATGGGTGGGGAAGAGGGCGGTAGGAGGTAACGCGGACAAGGCGGATGGAGAGCGGCGACAGCAGTCAGGTCGAGCCCTCGACCGATGCCAGGACGACAAGGGAAGCCACAAAAGAAGGTCTTGCGGGCCAAAAAGGACCACGGAAGCGCGAAGGAAGGGGCGGCATAGGTATTGCGGACCCCGTGAGCGCAAATGGGTGGCTGGCGAATGAGGAGGTGGAGGTGGATGAGGGTGGAGGGGAGCCAGGTGGGAAAAGGGAGGTAAACACCTGGGCCGAAGGGAGGGAGGTGGACATGAAACAAGCGGATGGTACGGTGGAATTGCAGAGGAGGAAGCGGGGCAGAAGACGCGACGGAGGGGAGGACTCAGACGGGGGTACCAGAGAGGCAGGAGTCGCCCTCCCCCGTCGTGACCCGAGTAAGGGACCGGGAGGAAAGCGAGGGAGGGATGGAGGGAGGGATGGAAGGAGGGATGGAGGAAGGGATGGAGGGAGGAAGGGCCCAAGTGAGGAAGCG